GGTCATGAACTCTTGAAAATCACACTCCGAGTCACCATCGGTGTCCACACTTTCCATCAAACTGTCCATTGTTGCTTGATCTTTCACATGCTGAGTGAGATAAAAAGAAAAAGAAATAGGATGTAGCTAATTTGCTTAGCATTTAAAATATTTAATCGTAAATGTCTGGCACAAAAAAATTCAATTTTGACATAAAGCCTAGACTGTAAATCAAAATGTAATGTAAAAAAAAAAAAAAGTTTGAAGTTTAATTACCTCAGTAAGAGTCGGAAAAGAAAAAGCTTAAGAAATAGGAAAATGGCTAATTCGTTAAGCATTAAAAATATTCAATCGTAAATTTTTGACACAAAAACTCAATTCTGACATAAAATCTTGACTGTAAATCAAACATTCTTTAAATTTCAAGACAAAGTGTAGAGTAAAAAAAAAAGTTTTTAAGCTTAATTACTTTGGTAAGAGTCGGAAAAGAAAAAGCTTAAGAAATAGGAAAATAGATCATTTGCTTAGCGTTAAATTTTTAATCGTACATTTTTGACACAAAAACTGAATTCTGACATAATGCCTTGACTGTAAATCAAATATTCTTTAAATTTCAAGACAAATTGAAGTGTAAAAAAAGTTTGAAGTTTAATTACCTTGGTAAGAGTCGGAAAAGAAAAACTTAAATATGAAAATAGCTAATTTGCTTAGCATTAAAAATATTTCATCACATTTTTGATGCAAAAACACAATTCTGACATAAAGCCATGACTGAAAATCAACAATTCTTATAATTTCAAGTCAAAGTGTAGTGTAAAAAAAAGTTTGAAGTTTAATTACCTCGGTAAGAGTCGGAAATTCATTGGTGAGCAGATCCTTGAGTTCGCTCTTTTTTAATTTGTGCTTGTCACCTTCTTTGGACGAGTATTTGTGGAACACCTCAATGATGGTTCCCAGGCAGCTCTCTAAGTCTGACATCTTTATGTAGTGTAGCGTTCGACGATAGCAATACGCACTAAAAATGTGAAAATGTTTAAAAGCAATTTCAAGCTGTTTAACTTTTCACTCAAATTACTGTAAAAGTTTAAGTGTTGAAGCAATTGTATGGACCATTAACTTTCTTTCTGCCTATTGCAAACACATTTCTAGTCATTATGTAGTTAGTTTTGCAATTTGTAGTTTGGAACGCTTGGAGCCAAATAAGCTGTAAAACATTGCAATGATAAAAACTTACTACACTTACCAGCAGAGAGTTTGTCCGAATGAGGCGATTCAGAGCAGAGTGAGATGGGAGTCCATTTATAGGTCTGAAACGGAGGGGCCTGTAACTTGGAGATTCTGACCTGTCAATCACCAGAACTGACCAATCAGCTTCTGACCTTGTTCTCACTCCACTACAAACACATTCAGAGTGAGATACAAAGAGATTAATATAAACACACACACATAGTATAACACTTGTGTGACACATTTGAGTAAAGAAGCTTAAAATTATATTATATACACACAATAATGCCTTTGCCAACTTTTAAAGCATATTGCTTCATTTACATGTAATATTTGTAGGTAAATTTAAACTGGGTTTGTTTTTTATTCTGTTAAACCTGGTAGATTTTTTGTTGTTATTGGGTTTCTGAAACTTGATACTAAGTATGTTTATTGTTTGAACAGGCCTTTTTTTTTTGTATTTTTCTTTAAGCAAGCATTGTCCTGTCAGTCTTTTTCCAAGGAATCAAATACAGTCTCCTGTTTCTATACATTGGTTGTCTCGTCCTCTTGTTGTAGGCCATAAGGATATATGTTCACTATGTTTTTCCTTTTCGTTTTCCTTTTGATCTTTCTTGGAAGTTCTGTTGCCCATAAGCACACACAAGTGTTTTGTTTTCAGGCATCTCGGAGGATAACAATAGTGTGTTTGAGAGGAAGTGAGTGGTGTGGCATGTTAATCAGCCGATCCTTTTCTGTTATAGAATTGGCCAGACGTGTGTCCTAAACACCACTGGACTATTAAACAGCTTTAACACCGAGACAAACACTCTCACACATAACATAACATAATATAATATAATATAATATAATATAATATAATATAATATAATATAATATAATATAATATAATATAATTAATATAATATTTATTTATTTAGTTTCTTTTGTTTTTGTTGTTGAGAACATGAAATTCATGAAAGTTTATGTTTCAATGCAATATACTTTTCATAACTATCAATAATTACTGTTTAAACATATAAATGCGAATGTATATTATGTCATGCATTGTCACTAAAGTTGCAATATTATAAATGTTTATTGAATTTTTGTGCATTATTATTGCTTTGTATTTTCAAAACTTTTAATACTTACTATGATACACTTACTAGTTATAATAAAGATAATTAGTCAATATTATAATGTATTAAATTGTAATGATTATTACTATTCTACACTTGTTCTAGGCCTATATAAACAGCGAAATCTGAAGTCACGAAGTCATCCTCCGTATAAAAACGAAGAGGTGCATGGGAATGCAGTCACAGGGCACTACGATCCTTCATCCCACTCCTCCCTGGCATTTGTCCAGTGGGCCAGACGGTTGGTGATTGTCAGATGGGTTTTTTTCCACCATAATAAATGTGTCTTTGTGGCCTCACATACGCAGCACAAGCACACTGTTGTCGGCAGCAAACACTGCATCTTGTGTGGGCCTCGCTGTCCTGACGGCCTTTCTCAGGGGTCAGATGGATAAAACACCCCGTCAACAAATCAATAATCCATATCTCTGCCTGTCTATACTCATGTGTTGATTTTTTTCATCACATTGTGATCTGGAAGCAGCGTTCGTTGACGATAGACTGACTCGGATGACTGTTCAATCATGGGCTCTGTTGTTTTGCCGTGATGAATCAGTGGTCTTGATCCAGATCCATTGGGTCAGCTTTTATTGTTTTTTGGGCACCAAATGTCCCTAAATGTAATTTTAATGTAATTTAATAATTTCTTTATAAAATAAAATTAAGTTAAATGTTTTTTTTACAAATAATTAATACATTTAATAATTTAAAATCCATTAACAGTTAAACGTAATATTAAATCAAATTAAATTAGAATAATTAATAAATACAATAATAATTTAATAACATAATATGGTCCTTTAACAATTAAACTTAATATTAAATCAAATTAAAATATATAAACAATATAAATTAATAAAACAAATAATAAATACAATAATAGTTTAATAAAATGGAACTCTTAAATTTTTTAATTTAATATTAAATCAATTACATTAAAATAAAATAAAATTAAGTTAAATGTTTTTTTTACAAATAATTAATACATTTAATAATTTAAAATCCATTAACAGTTAAACGTAATATTAAATCAAATTAAATTAGAATAATTAATAAATACAATAATAATTTAATAACATAATATGGTCCTTTAACAATTAAACTTAATATTAAATCAAATTAAAATATATAAACAATATAAATTAATAAAACAAATAATAAATACAATAATAGTTTAATAAAATGGAACTCTTAAATAATTTAATATTAAATCAATTACATTAAAACAAATAAATTATATAAATTATATAACAAAATGAGACCCTTTAACAGTTACACTTTATATTAAATGAAATGAAATTAAAATAAATAATAAACAAAATAAATTAACAAAATAATTAAGAAATAAAATAATAATAAAATAACATGAGGCCCTTTACAGGTTAAACAATTTAATTTAATTTTAAATCAAATTAAATAATACATAAATAAAAATATATGAGGCCGTTTAGCAGTTAAACTTAATATTAAACTTAATAATAAGTTTAATAAGTTTAAATATAAATAATGTTTGGCTGCCCAGTGCACTCTGGGATACTGGTGGTGGCCTGACAGAGAACTCATTCTGAGCTCCAGCCACACTCAGGATCACATGCTCTCATTGACTACTGTTTTCTTACTATGGCTCTATCTATCTATCACTTTCACAATTTCACTAAAATGAGCGTTTGTATATTTAGAAGCTGTATAAAGAAAAACACAAGGGTGAAACAGTCATTCACTGCTGATACTTCACTTGCTGGTTTAGTATTTTGATTAAACTTAGGTTTAGTTAGTTTTTAAATGTTCTGAATTTATTTATTTATTTATTTTTAACTTTTCTTTTCGACTGAACACAAGATCATCTCAAAGTAAGAGGACTTTGGACCAATGGGATTTCACAGTGGGTGGGGCTGGTTACATGACCTTCAAAAATATACTGAAAATATTTAAAATAAGTATATCTTTAAATTAAAAAGTGTAATTTGATCAAATTTGCTCATAGTATGTAGTTTTGTATTTGTTTGAAGACCCCTGTTTTTTTTTTGTTTTTTTTTCCTTATTCTTTTTTTATTGAGTAAATGTATTATTATTATTATTATTATTATTATTGGGATTGGGATTTTTTTATGTATTAAAAAAATCCTAACAATATTAATCCTGATTTCCACATGGATACTGTAAAATACATATACATATATTATATACATACATAATATTATACATATAATTTGTTCTTAATTGATGTTAACATGTTTTTGTGGCCTTAAATGTTCATCTGTGAACTGCAATTGCAAAAAAAAACTAATTTTCAAAGGTCATGTAAGGACACTATACTTTTTGTCTGTGAAATCATGTTTGACCTATTAAATAATTCTTAATCTGCTGAGCTTAGGCTGCTTTTCGCAGGGAAACGGTCAGGAACCAGGGTTTACAAAGACAATTACGACCTAATATTTCATCGCTTGATCTTCCGAACGTTAAGGAACGAAATGTGTGTGTTCTGTTTGCGGGTGGTTGATCGGAGATAACATTTTATTAGTTTGGCCACATTCACTCGCGTCCGAAAAGAAAGAAGAAAGCCTCTGGAGTATTTTTCAGGTGAACTTTTCTCTCCACACAAATCACCCAGCGAGACTCACTGGCCTTCCTGTCGCTTTGGCTGTTGTCATGGCGATGACCTGTTGTTTTCGTTCCCACCATCTCGCTGTGCCAGAAAGGTTCGCCAGAACGCCGAGTCATCGCTTGGAAACGCGCCGCGGTACAAGTAACGAACGAGGGCAGCTCTCCAGGTGCTAACGTGTCCCTGTTCACTCCAGCTCTGATAAAAATCATGCTTTTGACTCTGAAAATACCAAAACTTGACATTTGCTACAGTCGAGTGTTAGTTCAAAACGTTTCTTTCACATACGCCCACATGGGGGCATCGCTATTATGCTGTCATATATTTTATGAAAACACCCAGTCTCTTTGAAAACAATTCAGAGTTGGTTAAAACATGTTAATGGTCTTATAATGCTTTACTAACTCATTTAAGGACTGTTTGGATGCATTTGTTACTGCAATTGCGGTTTACGCTATTGTTATCCTCATCTGCAATGTTTATGCTTAACCACTAGGTGGCAGGCCCGTCTTTCTCTTATACAGCTTTGCTCTGTACTGCGGGGTTATTAAACAGGAAGCTGTCTGGGCACGTTAGGTTTCTAATCTGTCCCGTGATCCCTACCTGCAGTGTTTCGTCTGGTTTGTTTCCACAGATAAACTATCCAGTCCACAGAAGCTTTAAGCCACTTATCCCGGTAAAACAAGCTGCGGTGTGGCAGTCATGTCTATTATGGTTAGAAGTCACGTGACTCCCCTAATGAGGGGTAGCGGTGAATGATGTTGATGGTAATATTTAACATTTTTAACATAACATTTTAAAATAAAAAATTTTCTTAGTGGATATGTCATATATAAATATAAAAATAATATAAAATAATAATATGAATATTACATATTTGGTATAATATTAGGCCTATGTAATTGTTTTTTATTCTTATTTGGAAAAATACAATAATATTACAATTAATTATTAATCAGTATTTAACAATATTAATCAATTACTGTGAGATTTTCAGCAATATTCTTCTTAGTGGATATTTTAAATATTTATACATAATATTTTGAAAATTACAATATTTGATAGTATAATAGTTTAATATTGTACTATTTATTCTATTTAATAAGGTCATATTTTATTATTTATACATTGAATAACAATGTGATAATCAACAGTGTAACACATTTTTACCATGTTTCAAATTTTAAAAAAGTTAACTTATTGTGATGAGACTCGTTACAGCGTTTGTACTAGCCACAAAATTGCAGCATTAGCAAGCTAAAAATACAGGTAACTTTTGAAAGACACAGTAGCAACAGTACATTTTTTAATTACATTTTTCAGAAGCATTACAGTAGCTAAACACATACACAGTAAAAAAAAGTAAATACTGTTAAGTAGCAATATTAATATATATTAATATAAAAAAAATCTAAAACAATATTAAAATTCATTAATATTAATCAGTGTGAACAGTAATCATTAATATTTATAAAGTATAAAATTAATAATGTATTTATTAATATGGTCATATTTTTTATTTATATGTCATACATGACAGTAAGAATGTGATAAACTCTGTGTAACCATGTTTCAATTAATCAACAGATTTTCCCCAGAAATCAGCACAGAATATAAAAACCTTCATTTTATTAAATATTTACTTTTATAACTCCAAAAGTTGGAATTTAATGAGAACTAAAGCATTTTAATAACAGCAATTTTACTAGCAAGTAATTCGCAAAAAATTGCGATTCACTTTTAAAAGATACAGTAGCAACAACACTAACTTAACTACGTTTTTCGAACATTTAACAGTAGCTAACTGTTTTCAAAACTGTGTAGCTTGTTTATTAACAAGATACTTTTTATTGCTACTTGTACTAGCTATTCGTAGCGGTTGTAGTGTGACAGAATGCAACATCGCTATTTTTGTCACACTGTATTGCGGGAGCAGATTTAGACTAAGTAAGCTGAGGTAAATATTTTCAACCTAATGTTTAAAATTCAGAAAAATAGGCATTTTTAGCTCAATTGCTTAGCTTAAAAGTAGTTAGCTACGTTTGATTTGTAACTTTTTAACAGCTTTCTCTGCTTGATTAACTTTTAGCTTGATGAGCTACAGTTTCAAATTAGCTTCCTCAACACTAGTTGATGTTAGCCAGTTAGCAATACTTGGTTAAATGTCGTTTAACTGACCATGCTGGTGTCTATAACACAGGCTATATTTCACATACAGGTGTGGTGGCATATGCTGATATAAAACAGAAATGAGAAATAGGAAGTCACTTGCTAGGTTCACCGTAATGTTCCGTACAGGGCTGCCGGGTCGATTGGCAGCACAATAGCCGGATCAATATCTGGCCCAGTTGTGCCGCTTAGTGAAGAGCGGTTTGATCTATAGCATAGAATTGGTTTGGCTAGGAATCAGGGCTCATGTAAACGGCCTTTATTTGAGTCAGTCATCTGCTGTAGTAATTAGAATCGGAAGTAAGACTCAGCGCTCAACTTCCCTGTGATTAACAGGTGAAGTTCAACATGAATCCCTCAGCGCAAACAAACATAGACGTGCGCACATGGTCAGCTAGAATTAACGCTGAGCTCATGTAACAATTTCACAAAACTATCAAAGACTTTATTACCCCTGCTGACATTTTTGCTGACGCCAACTAGAATGAAGATCAAGCTGAGTAATATTTGGACATTTACCCTCCTAGACATCGTCTCATTATCGTCCCGTAGTAAACAAGCTTTGCAAACTGCCAAAAACAACACAGGCGCAGTAATTAAATTGGATTAAGTGGATTATGCGGCCCTTGTGATGAGTTGGCTGCCTGCTGCAGATTGGCACCCGAAAACAGTTTGGTTTGTCTTCACCTTACCATGTCAACCCACATGAAGATGCACACACACACACACACACACACACACACTTTTGAAAGAAAATGCTGTATGACCTCCTGAGGTTAATGATCAGTTTTTCTTTTTTTGAAAGGTATGCATGTCTTACATTTTTGTAAAAGTAAAAAGTTATATAATAATATTCATGTTATAAATTTGTTATATTATACAATTGTTAATATTATTATTTTAAAAAGTGTAAAATACCATAATAATGATGATAAAATAAAATGTATGTATTAATATGACAATTATCAATTAATATAAAATGTATTATTACTAATAAATAACACATAATAATTAATAAAAATAATAATATTTATTGTAATACAATAATAAAACTATAATTTTATTATATTTTTTTTAACATATTTTTTTATATTAATATATAAAGACATTTTTATGTAATGAAAAATAATAGTAATCACTGTTAACATAACAAATTAATATAAAATGTATTATTATTATGATAATATTATTAAAATAACAAATAATAAAATGAAAAATAAAATATTAATATAATAATAATAATAATAATAATAATTATTATTATTCTAATTACTTAATTTATTATCTAATTAATTATTATCTAATTATTACCTAATCTAAAATAATAATGCAATTTATTAATATGATCAATATTAACATTATTAATTAATAAAATGATTATTACTTTTATTTAAAAGTATAACTAATATTACTGTAAAATAACAAGAAAAATTGTTAATGAACAAACTAACTTAACATATTAATGGATACAAATTATTATTAATAAAATAACAATATTAATCAATATTGATATAAAAATGTATATAAATATACTATTATTATAAAAATACAAGCAATAAAATAATAACAATAATAATATTAATAATAATAATGGTTAATATTTAAAAGTATAACCTAATATTAATATAAAATAAATTAATAAAATAATAAAAGTAATAATATTAACATTATTTAACTTAATATATTGATAAATATACAGTTAGCAGTAGTAGTAGTAGTAGTAGTATTAAGAGTTTAAGGCTGTAATTTGTGACATACAGCGTGTAAACTGATGGCCACAACACAACCGTTGTCTGGGTCACAGGGCCGGGGCAGATGCCAGCCTTTCCTTTGGGTAATTGTCAGAGACAGGAATAGTAAATCCAGGTCAGTAGGCTGCTTGTAAAGTGGGCTCAGTATGCTGGACGGAGATTAGCTCTTTAGCCAGGTTCAACTCACTGTGACGCATACTGCTCTCCCACTCACTGAAAACACAAGCTAAACGTTACACATAAAGAAACTAATTGTACTTTTTAAAAGTATGTTTAAAAACCTTTGTGTCATTTCTGCACCAATATAGTGGAAGAGGTTAATGCTAATGTAACAGAAATAAGAGCTCGCATAAGCAAGCATCTGCTTCAAAAAGAAAGCTAGCAGTCACACAGTATATGCTAAACACCATGTGAATTTAGGTAAATGTAGATGGTAAAAGACAGTGCACAGTGTATGCTAGCATGCTAATCGGAACTTAGCTTAGTCAAAAGATCAGTGGACCCTATTGAATTTGAGACATTTTTCAAACTATCCTCTTTTGGATTCCACAGAAAAAGAATGTAATACAAAATTGGAATGACATGAGGGCGAAAAAAAATTATGATACTGTATACTCAGTTTCCACAGCAAACTGGACATGTTGAGGCATGTTTCCTCTCAGGATGAATTCACGTTCTTGTTCTAATATCAAATGTGGAAACGGTTCAAGAATGTGTAATGTTTTAATGAGCCAATACTAAATTTCAACCTTGGAAACTATATCAAAACATAACCACAATTTATTATTTAACAGCAGAACGTGTTCAGACAGAACCACAACCTAGCAGAAAGGCCTTTCATTACCTACCTCAGAGGCATTAACACTGAAAACTGCTCCCAAAGGGAGGCTGTCGTGAATCACAGAAAAACAACTCATTTGTTTGCAATTGGCTCTGAAGGGAAAAAGATTCATTAAAGAATTGTTCAGAGGGCAGATGAGGGTTTGGTTTTGTTCTGTTTGTTTATTGTTATTCATCTCATGGTTTTCAATTACCGCGACCAGCTTCAGACAAAGAAAGAGAAAGAGAGGAATAAATACAGGTTTCATTATTATCAACTGCAAAGTAAAAAAAAAAAAAAAATCTGCTCTCATTTTCCTACCGTGTGTTTACAGATATATATATATATATATGTGTGTGTGTGTGTGTGTGTGTATGTATGATGTTTTAAAAAAAAATCTAAATTATATGTTATATAATAAATAAATTA